GCGGCCCGCGGGATCAGGGCGCACGGAGGCGCTGGAGCCGCAGGCGCACGGCGAGGAGAAGCGCAGGACGCGCGACGACACCGACGCCGACGCCGAGCAGAGTTCTACCGGGCCTCCTCCTCCTCCTCCTCCTCCTCCTCCTCCTCCTCCTCCTCCTCCTCCCTCCTCCTCCCAAAGACTGCTCCTACCCACAGGCCTGTCATGGGCGACCAGGTTGGATCTCCGGCGCTGCAGCGATGACGTGCAATCAGGGCCTTGCCTTCCCCGTGCCGTTGCTCGCACGCGGCGACGAGGGCCCGGCCGTGCTGCCGAAGAGCGACGAGCGCTTCGAGCATGGGCAGTACGCCTGTACACGCCACAGCAGGTTGCAGATGCCGCGGAAGCCGGCGGACGCCTCGGTAGCTCCCAAGCACCACCGGGGCGACGAGCGATACGAGGAGCATCCATCTCGGTTTGGGTGCCTTCCCCCACGCCGAGTTCTTCAAAAAAGCATTCGCACCACTTCTGCCGAGGCGAAGCGCCCAACCCTAACAGGTTAAACGATACACGAACACCATAGCCCTATGATCGTAAACCTAACACCCGACCAGCTTAAACCTAACACCCGAACGTCCTCGCATAATTACCCTAATGGTAACACGTAACCGGAACGACCTCACACCTATACCTAACACTAACACCCTACACCTAGCACCCGAGAATCTTAACCCAAACGCCGCAATCTTAGCACCCAGCCCCTGACACCCGAACCCGAACACCCTGGCCTTAACACCCTAAGCAAAAGACCAGAAACCTAAATCCGCAACCCTGCCACCAGAATGCCTCAACACCCTAACGCCCTAACCCTAACGGTCCTAATACCCGAATGCCCGAACCCGAACATCTAAGCCCGAACACTGCAACCCGAACCACAAAACAACCGCACGCACACCCGCAGCCTAAGCCCCCCTAAACTCAACAGACAAATCCCTCAACCCTGACGCATGAAGCCTAATGCCCAAGACATAGCACCCAAAACCTCACATTCTAAACCTAACACCCTTGCCCTAACACCCGGGCACGGTCACCCGAACACCCTGGGCCCAACACCCTAGACACCCACAACTCGCCCGAACTCTCGAACCCAAGCACCCGAACCCTAACACCAGAACCCTAACGCCCTGTCACCCTCACCCCCACATGCGAACCCGATCATCGCCACCATAACCCCAACTCCAAAAACCTAAGCCGAACATCCTTACCCGAACACCCGTACCCGAACAAACTCTAACACCCCAACGCCCCAACTCTGACCCCCAGCCCCTCATCCCTCAACACGAACACCGTAGCCGTAACACGTTGAGCCTAACACGCGAACGCCAACCGTGCCCCGTCCAGTGGCGCATGGGCGCGCTGCGGCTGCGTCACGCGCGCGGCCTGAGCCCGCGCCCGCTCGTGGCCACCGCCCGTCGCCGCGCGCCAGCGTACGCTATGCAGCTCATCTGCCCAGCGAACACGAGCGCAGACGCAGCAGCCGAGCCTAGAGCGCACGGCGCAGCGACTCAGCCCGGGCCTGGCGCCCGCGGCGTCCGCCCCCGCCAGAGCCGCGCGGAGCGCGTCGATGTCCGCGGGCGACAGCCCCGCGCTCTCTTTCGATCGCTGTGCCGAACAGCTCTGTAGCGCATCTACAGCTCGAGTTAAGTTGAGAAAACCAACTGCATCTGCGGAGATGACACTCAACAGCCGATCCCACCCATGTGTTTCTTGATGATAATATCCGCCCGATCGACCTAAGATCGAGATGGCGAGCGGGAAGGAAATCGATGATGGGGGGAAATCAAACTCTGACGACTTGTTAATCGACCAAATTTATGCAAAATGTCCGTCGAGATTTTTCGAGCCAGCTAGCCCGCCAGCGCGCTGGAATTACTCTTAAGCTTCGCCGCTTCGCTGTAAGGAAGCTCTACGACTCTACGAGTCAATATTGGTTCCCAAAACGATTTGTCCAATCTCTCACAATCTCCCAAGAACCGACCCCAGGTTGCCACATTGTCCGCCCGGGCCAGGCGGGTCAACTACGGTGCCCGGACAAAAAGTGTCCACACCGACGGCGAGAAGGCAGTCAGACAGAATGGCAACAACAAGTACAATCTACACTTGACTCGCCCCCCTCCCCAAAAAACTCAAAGTTGAAGTGTCCACATATTGTCCTTCGCGCGTTGCCTCGCAGCGAACCCCACCAACTTTGAGTTGGGGGGGGCGGGGGCTACGGATATGTGTTCGACTGAATTCGATGTCGTACCATCTTAGCGCGATGGGTGTGGACACTTGTTGTCCGAGCACCGTCTGGGTAAGCAGGTTTTTATTGTTTCATGGATGTGGGTATATGAATTTTTGTTGATGTTATCCTAGTTTATGTTAGGTCATGTCGAAGCTGTGATATGTTGTTGGATTTGATGCTATATAGTCAGAAGTTGTTTTGTATAGTGACGGACGTTGGAACCTGGCGACGGCAGCGGAGATGCACCAGGAGGCCTTGGCCCCAGCGCTGCGCAAGGCCAACGCGAAGTCGCGGTCGTTCCTGATTCTGGAGGACAACGACCCAACGGGCTACAAGGCCAAGCTCAGCAAAGAGGCTAAGGCCCTTCCTCGATTGTCCAATCGGCGGCTCCATCTTGGGCGCGCCTCCTTCGAAGCCACGGGCCCGCTGGCCCTGCGGCTCGGCGAAGGCGCGCTCAGGGGAGCGGGCCTGCTGGGCGGGCGCGGGCTGCCTTCAGGCGAGGGAGAAGGTGAAGTGCATTCCCTTCCCCAAGCGCAGCCCAGACCTCAACCCCCTTGACTACGGCTTCTGGCCCATGATCACTAAGCGCCTGCGGGGCCAGGAGGCGAAGTTCCCGCCGTCCAAGAGGGAGAGCAGGGCCGCCTTCACTCGGCGCCTGAAGCGCACCATCATGCGGGTCGCCTCGGCCACCCTTGAGCCACTGGTGAAGTCCATGAAGCGGCGCTGCACCGCGTTGCTGGCCGCGAAGGGCGCGGACTTCGAGGAGTGAGCCAGGGCGCTGCGCCCCCGTCGCATGCCTCTGCTTGCGCAGAACTGGTACAACTGGACAGAACTGGTCGTAGAACTGGCCATGCACTTGGTCCACGAACTGCTAACCAAAAATCAGGTCCGGCAAAGAACTGGTTGCGCCAGTTGCACCAGCTCCATGCACTTCTCCAAGCAAAGGGAAGGGGGGCGCGGGCCTGCCAGGGCGCGTCGTCCGTCCAAGGGCCCGCGGGTGTTTCAAGAAGCTCGGAAGGTGGTGACCACCGCTATTACGGAACGACTCCCGCACACCAATTTCATCGTCAACACATACGCCTCCAGAATCACCATCGACAACGCCGATGCGACCACCATTGTCATGTAAGGGAGTTAGTTTCGTGCACATGTGTCATCTGGACGCCTGGAGCATCATATATTCCAACATCCCAGGTGCACCGCCCCAGTCCCTGCCAGGTGCGCCGCGCGTGCCAGGTGAGCAAGGTTTGCCAGGTGCGCGCAGTGCTCCAAGTTCGCCAGGCGCGCCCGCCACGCCCGTCTCCAAGGACGACCCCGAGGACGCTGGGGCGGCCGCTGTCGCGCGGTCCGCCCGATCCCTGGCGGGGGGAGGGGGGGGGGGGGGGCGCCGCGCGATGGCCAGTTGCGCCGCATCAGGGAAACGCTCAAAACTTGTACAACTTGTACAACTTGCGCTCAAAACTTGCTGGGAAAATGCGTAAAATTTGTAAAACTTATAAAAAAGAAGACTTTCAATATACAAAAAGGTTTCTTTTCTGACAAGTTTTACGAGTTTTACGTATGTTGCCAACAAGTGTTACGCGGAAGTTTTACAAGTTAAACAAGTTGTACGGCATTCCCGCGCAGGTCGTGGACTCACGTCATCCTGACGCCTGGAGCATCACACATTTCAGCATCACAGGTGCACGGACCCAGTCCCCGCCAGGTGCGACGCGTGCGCCAGGTGAGCAAGGTTTGCCAGGTGCGCGCAGTGGACCCTTCCCGTGTCTTTCCCGTAGCCACGTCGGCCCATGACGCGCCGCAGCCGCAGGCAGCGCCCGTAGGCGCTGACTCCGGCGACGGGGGACGCGCGCGCTCGTTGGGCACCATGGCGGAGGAAAGGCGCCGCGCGGGGCCCGTGCCCCCGGCGCGGCGGCTGCGGGGGAAGCAGTCGCCGCCTGACGGGGGCCTCGGTGCCATCTGCGGCTCGCCATCTCGGCCGAGTGGTGCATCTCCGCCGCCGTCGCCGCGTTCCAACGTCCGTCACTATACAAAACAACTTCTGCATATCTAGCATCAAATCCAACAACAGATCACACCTTCGACATGACCTAACATAAACTAGGATAACATCAACAAAAATTCATATACCCACATCCATGAAACAATCAAAACCTGCTTACCCAGACGGTGCCCGGACAAAGTGCGTCCACACTGACGGCGAGAAGGCAGCCAGACATAATGGCAACAACAAGTACAATCTACATTTGACTCGCCCCCCTCCCCCACAAAACTCAAAGTTGAAGTGTCCACATATTGTCCTTCGCGCGTTGCCTCGCAGCTAACCCCGCCAACTTTGAGTTGGGGGGGCGGGGGCTACGGATATGTGTTCGACTGAATTCGATGTCGCACCATCTTAGCGCGATGGGCGTGGACACTTTTTGTCCGGGCACCGTAGCTCCACCCAGCGCCGGAAATGGAAGCCGGCGGTAAACCGTCAACCTTGGTTACCGCCGGGAACTCGCAGAGCTTCCTCGCCATATATACGAATGGCATGCAAGCGCGGCAATCTCGTATTCCGCGCGCGCTCGAGGGCGCGGTTTCACAGACATGTGCTTGACAGCTCCTTGCTTGTCCACAGCTCGAGTTCGCATCGAAACTGCAGACAGCGCTCGCGATCATTCCCATTCGAACAGTCTGCTCCCCAGCTCTGTGGCTTGCCTACTGCTCGAATTGCGCATACAATTGTCTAGTCGCAGTTCAGGTAGCAGACCGATCTCAGACGTCTAAATGCATTCAACTAGCGCTCCTCAGCATGTCCTGTCAATTGGCATAGTTGAGTTCCGCATATATCCTACAGCTCGAATTAAATACAAGAAGCAAACATCATCTCTCACAAAAAATGCAGAGTGCGAGCAGTTGTTCAGTTGTACCTCTGGTAGCAGACCAATCTCAGACGTCTCGATACTGTAGGCGACTTTCTCTGATGATCTTCTGTTGAGCCGTGAGCTTCCCGGCCCCCTAGCTTGCCTACCACTCGAATTAACATGAGCACAGAAAACCAACGTCGTCTCTTCTACGAGGTATGTCGGGGGGGCTCTACGAAGCACTAGCTCCACCCCTCGCTGGAATTCCTCTTTCTCACTGATGCCGAAGACCTCTGGGCATACCCAAAGCGACGGAAAAGCTCGTCGCCCAGCACAGGCGGGAGCCGGGCAAGCTCAAGGGGGAGCTGTTCAGCAAGTCCGCGGGCAGCGCATGGTCGATGAGAAGAGGCTGTCATTGAGAAGCCCCAGCAGGAGGTGGAAGAAGGTGAGAGCGCCATCGAGCAGGCGGGCGCGCAGTGGCTGGCGGCCACGACCGAACGGGCTCAGATCTGCAACACCTTGCCCTCACAGTGGAGCACCTTCCTGGGGCTGACTGGCGGCTGGTAAACCGTCAACCAGGTTGCGCCTGGAACCCTGGCAGGGCTCTTAACACGCGACTTAGCGCTCAGATAGCTCGCAGAGCTCTTCGGCAACGATGAGCTAGAGGAGTGACTCGTAGAGCCCCCTTAAGAGCGAAGCGGCGAAGCTTAGAGAATTCCGGCGCGCCGGCGGGCTAGTTGGCTCGAAAAAACACGACGGAGGTGACTCGTGGAGCTTCCCTGAGAGCGAAGCGGCGAAGCTTAAAAGAAATTCGAAAACGCTGGCGGGCAAGTCGGCTCGAAAAATCTCGAGGGAAGTTTTGCATGATTTGGGCCGGTTGAAAATCATGTTCTCGAAATGCAACTATTCGTTAGAGCTCTAATACTTTCTCTCCCCATATTTGATCTTACTCCCGCTCGCCATCTTGATATCAGGTCGATCGGGTGGATATTACTTTCCAAAAGCAATCAGGCGGCATCGGGTCTTGGGTGTCATCTTGGCAGGTCCTGCCGGTTTTCTCAACTGAGCTCCTGGCGTAGATGAGCCACAGAGCTGTTCGGCACACTAATCGAAAGGCAACCATCAGAAGCGCTACTCTAAAGGATCTAGATGCCTGAGATCGGTCTGCTACCAGAGCTGGGACCAAAAAACTATTTGCACTCTGAAAATGTTATGAGAGGCGATGTTGGTTTTCTCTACTTAACTCGAGCTGTAGGCGAGCTACGGAGCTGGGAAGCACACCGTTCAACAGGAAATGATCAGGAACATGCGCCTACCGTATGGAGACATCTGAGATCGGTCTGCTGACGGAGCTGCGACTGAGAAACTTCTCGCGCAGCCCATTTTTTCCGATGTATTACTTTTGCGTTCTCTACTTAATTCGAGCCGTAGGCAGCTGCGGAGCTGAAGTGCACACCAATCGACAGGAAATGACTCGTAGATCTTCCCAAAGAGCGAAGCGGCGGAGCCTAAGAATAATTCGAAAACGCTGGCGGGCGAGTTGGCTCGAAAAATCTCGACGGAAGTTTTGAATAATTTGGGCCGGTTGAAAATCATGTTCTCGAAATTCAACAAGTCGTTAGAGCTCTAATATTTGTTCCCCCATCTTTGATCTCATTCCCGCTCGCCTTCTTGATATCAGGTCGATCGGGTGGATACCACTTTCAAAAAGCACTCAGGCGGGATCGGGTGTTGAGTGTCATCTTGGCAGGTGCTGCCGGTTTCCTTACCTTAACTCGAGCTGCAGATGAGTTACAGAAGTGTTCGGCACAGCAATCGAAATGGCAATCATCAGAAACGCTAGTCTACAGTATCTAGATGCCTGAGACCGGTCGGCTACCAGAGTTGGGACCACAAAAAAATGATACTCTGGAAATGTTTTGAGAGACGATGCTGGTTTTCTCTACTTAATTCGTACTGTAGGCGAGCTACGGAGCTGGGAAGCACACCCGTCAACAGGAAATGCTGAGGAGCGCCAGTCATAAGTATCTACACGTCTGAGATCGGTCTGCCACCAGAGCTGCGACCGAAAAACGATTTGCACTGTTCGAATTTTGGAGAGGCGATGTTTGTTTTCTCTACTTAATTCGAGCTGTAGGCAACCTACGGAGCTGGGGAGCACACCGCCCAACAGGAAATGATCAGGAACACTCGCCTACAGCATCGAGACGTCTGAGTTCGATCTGCTACCAGAGCTGCGACTGAAACACGAGTCAGACTCTGCAATGTTATGTGAGAGATGATTACTGTTTTCTCTACTTGCTTCGAGATGTAGGCTTGCTACGAAGCTGAGATTTACACCAATCGACAGGAGATGCCGAGGAGCGCTAGTCTAAAGTATCTAGACGCTCGGGATCGGTATGCCACCAGAACTGCAACCAAAAAACTATTTGCACTCTTCAAATTTTGGAGAGGCGATGTTGGTTTTCTCTACTTAATTCGAGCTGTAGGCAACCTACGGAGCTGGGAAGCACACCGCTCGAAAGGAATAGAACACGGGCGCTAGTTTGGAGTATCGGGGCGCCTGAGATCGGCCTGATACCGTGCTCTGCAAACCGCCGCCAAGCTGGCATGCTCTACGCGCCACGAGAGCTTCTTGATATTCACAGATTATTCAAACATCTGTTCAGCTTAAGTCGTGTACTTTCTTGCGTGTGTGTCTCGACTGAACTCGAGCTGTGGGCAAGCTAGGGAGCTTTCAAGCACATGTCTATAAAACCGCGCGCCCTCGCGCGCGCTGAATGCGAGATTGCCGCGCTCGGATGCCACTCGTATATTTCATATATATATATATATACATATATATATATACATATATATATATATATGCACATACACATGTATGCGTATATATATATATGCATGGCAAGGAAGCTCTAAGAGT